GGTCCTTTCCCTTTTTTATTTTTTCCATCTGTTGAAAATTATTTCTTTGTTCTTTTCCCATCACTGTCATGTCCCAAGAATTACTCTGTCACACAGCGCATGGGACGAGGGGTGGTGATGTTAATCTTCACTTTGCCAAAAAGGCTTAATGGGCCAAAGGGAAATTTTTTTATTGGAGATAAATATTCATAATTACCATACAGAGATACTACACTGACACTGGCAACACCTCCCTCCCATCCCTCCCCCTCCCCCCCCCCAAAAAAAAATTAGGATTCTAAATCTCCAAAAAAATATTCTACCCCATGTTTGTGGGGTTGCTGGTGATAAACGTTTTATGGGTATCGTTCAGGAGACACCTATCTAAAATCTGTTTTTAATAGTCAGATTCTAAATTGGAACCAGAGGGACAGAAAAGCCAGATTCAAAATATGTTTCTAAGGGTTTCAGCTCAGATTGCCTTCTCTCATCTTTTACACTGCTGTCAAAAGGGCCACTCTCATGGTTGTTCAAGCTCCATGCTTCTTGACAGGAACAGTTGGATTCCTCTTCAGTGATTTTTCAGATGAAATGGCTTCCAAACCTCCAGAGCTTTAACTTGTAGTTATTAGACCCTTTGAAACAGCAACACATTAATCAGCGGAAATCAAGTGGACTCGTCTCCAAAGCTATGATGTTGGTGTTCTGTTCTAGACAGGACTCCACTCTAAATCTTAACTCCAAGAGTTCTTTCTTCTCCAGAAAGGTCTGTCTCATTTCTATTTTTATTTTGACCTTTGGTTGTTATGTTTTATAATTCTTATAATTCTATTCCTTATTGGTTCTTATACTGCTCAGTTCAGCCCTTTCAGAAAAATTCTTTGGCTTTTTCTACTTATATTTCAGAAATTGGCTTCTACTCTTGCTTGCTAACTTTTCCTATCTGGAATATGCAGTTTACCAATGTAGGTGGTGATGGTGTTAATGGTTAATATTTAATAGAAGGAGTTTGTTCTATCTTAACTTTTACATAGTGCTTCATACAGACTAGAATACTTTGGGCAAGGACTCCTGGGTGCTCTTTCCTGTTCTGCCACTGAATCACTGGGATCTTGAATAAGTAATTTAACCTAGTTCTGCCTCAGTTTCCCCAAGTATAAAGTGAGGATGATAATATCTGACTTAGTGTGTTTGTATGGAACTCCTTTTATGTCTTTGGATGAATGATGCTATGGAACTATTTATAAGGCACATTCCATGGAAAAAATACTAATACACTTTACAAATACAACTCTACCCCGATATAACATGGCCCGATATAACACAAATTCAGATATAACGCGGTAAAACAGCACTCCGGGGGGGCGGGGCTGCGTGCTCCGGCGGATCAAAGCAAGTTCAATATAACACGGTTTCACCTATAACACGGTAAGATTTTTTGGCTCCTGAGGACAGCATTCTATCGGGGTAGAGGTGTAGCTTATTAACTACTCTGTACTGTGTTCTTCTAAGTAATCACCTCACATACCTCTGAAGCTGAATAATTTCTAATTTCTGAATATATAAATGAATTTGCCCTTTCCACCATACCATACTGTGCAACAGAAATGAAAGCTCTCTGTACTCTACCTATAGCAGCAAACCATCTCTTCCAAAGCAGGCTTAGTGAAGTGCAGGTACCTGTGGGTTGGAACTTGGCAGCTGACTATTGGTGCATCAGTAGCAATACAATGTCACTTTAGGAAAGAAATTGATCAACAACCTTGTCCAGTTGCAACTATGAAACTATTTTGTACATAAGCTTAATTTTACTACTCAAAATGTAATTTAGTCAGGAGACCTAACAAACTTCCTTGTACAAAAAGTGCTATGGGATTATTAATGATCGCAAATGAACAGGATCTTGGTTTTATATACTATCTAAGGGACAGAGGGTTTGAAAGTTCATATTAGAATTACAATTGGGGACTTCTGTTGGGTCATCTAGTGTAGATGCTATGGTGACAGCTGCACTAAAAATGTATACTAGGCTCTGATTCTGCAATTGGATCCATGCAGGCAGGTTCTTGCAGAGACCCTTTGACTTCAGTGGCACGCCAAAAGATGATTGAAGATTTGGGACCTTAAATCCAGCCATCCCTTTCTGTATCACGATGGGACTGAGTTCAGTATTATCCCAGATAGGTGTTGCATGTACAGCCTCCTTCAGTAGGCTACACTGATTTTTAATTCATAACAATACATGCTCTCATTGAAGAGTTTCCACACACAAAATCAAAACTTGGGTTTGATAAATATGTGGAGGTCGTTCTTGTCCAGGGTGGTGTTTGAATTAGGGCCAGGACTGAAATCACCCTTACTGTATCTCAGACATGTTAAATAAGCAGAGGTCTGAGAAGAGGGGTTGGGGTTGAAACAGGTTCAGAGGAATCTCTTTTTTGAGAACTTTGCCACCTTCTATATAGCACCTTCTTCGTAGGATCTCAGAGCTCTTTGCAACGAATATTGACTAAAGCCTCACAGCATTCCTTCAAGTAGCAAAATATTATCCCAGTTTTGTCCAAATTCCTGCCTTTCTGCTGTGGTCATGCTTGCATACATTGATGGAGTGGAATTATGTACAGTGTGGAAAAATGTGATCTACCTTGTCATGTTCTAACTTCCAATGCTGTGAACCAATAATATGGGACTGTGTTGTCTGGAATTAAATACATTTTGTAAGAGCGTATATCTTAGGCTATCTTTTTATCGGCAATCAGAACCCAATAAAACAGCCTCTAAATCAGTGGTTCTTAAACTGGGGCCGCCGCTTGTGTAGGGGAAGCCCCTGGCGGGCCGGGCCAGTTTGTTTACCTGCCCCATCCATAGGTCCGGCCGATCGCAGCTCCCACTGGCCGCGGTTCGTTGCTCCAGGCCAATGGGAGCTGCTGGAAGCGGCGCGGGCCGAGGGACTTACTGACCGCCACTTCCAGCAGCTCCCATTGGCCTGCAGCAGTGAACTGCGGCCAGTGGGAGCCGCGATCGGCCGGACCTGCAGATAGGGCAGGTAAACAAACCGGGCTGGCCTGCCAGGGGCTTTCCCTACACAAGCAGTGACCCCAGTTTAAGAACCACTGATTTAGAGGCTGTTTTATTGGGTTCTGATTGCCGATAAAAAGTGTTTTCATTGCTGTTGCTCATGCTGTACCTACCATGTAGAGTTTCAGTTTCAATGCTGTCAGTCCAGCACCTCTCACCAATTTAAAGCTGTAAAAGAAAAAGGGCATGGGAGGGGATTGTTAGCTGCGATGTCACAGCTCTTTCCCCCCGTTTAAGTAAACTGATGGGTTAAGTAACTTCCACCTTGGCTGTGTTATTCTAATGATGGGATTTTAGATCTTGAACATTCATTCTAGAACAGCATTTCTGGATAGAAAAATCAAAAAGCACTTGGGTATATGTGTCTTGTCTTCCAGAGCAGCCGTTTAGGGCTTAAAGCTACTTACAACATTAGGCTGGCCTGGAAACACATTGTATGGCTGGAAAAAAGAATATTGTGATCACAGCGTGCATCCTGTGGCAATTGTGGACCTAATTTATAACCTTATTCTGTGTTACCATCAACTCCAAGCTCAAACCCTGTTCATATGATGTCAGTACACAAAAACATTTACTGCTATCTGCATATAGGAAGGAATTGATGATCAAAAAACTGTTTGATTTGCTTTGATTCCTTTGAAAAATCCAGCCGTTTTTGTTCTAAATCTCCATCAGGGAGGCCCCATCCCTCTCTGAACCATTTTGCAGATCAATATACTTTGAAATTTGGCTTCTGCTTTTAGTTTCTGGCATCACTGGTTCAGGTATCACTCCCCATGAGCAAAATCATACTCTTACTGTAGGCCCAGAGGGCTCCAAACAGAACTGAAATAATGTGGTTAGGCAGTGTTGAGAGGTGGCTGGGAGACAGGATATTTTGATCCCACTCAGGGAGACCGTGCATCCTGCTCCCCACAGAGCCCTGTCCTATAAGAACTGTCATAGTGGGTCAGAACAATAGTCCATCTAGCCCAGTAGACTGTCATGACAGTGGCCAATGCCAGATGCTTCAGAGGGAATGGCAATTATTGAGGGGTCCATCCCCTGCCATCCAGTCCCAGCATCTGGCAGTCAGAGACTTAGGGACATCCAGAGTCTGGGGTTGCATCCCTGATGATCTTGGCTAATAGCCGTTGATGTACCTATCCTCCATGAATCTATCTAGTTCTTTTTTGAACCCAGTTGTACTTTTGGCCTTCACAGCATGTCCTGGAAACCAGTACCATAGGTTGAGTGTGCATTGTGTGAAGAAATACTTCCTTTTGTTTATTTTAAACCTTTTGCCTATTAATTTCAGCATGTGACCCCTGGTTCTTGCATTTTGGGAAGGGGTAAATAACCATTCCTTATTCTCTTTCTCCACACCATTCAGTATGGGAGCTGCTTTGCCACCCCAGGCGATGAGGAATCAGCCTTGGCACAGGGAAGAAGCAGCAGCAGATAAATAAAGCCGTGTAAAAATCCACTGTTTAATCATCTTGTGGGAGTGGATGTACAGCAGCACTTGGGGCAGAAGGTTTCCATCTCACTCCCATCGAACCTGCTGGCTATTAGTGCTTGATGCAACTGAGTTGATTTACCCCCTAAAAAGTAGCCAAGTGCATTTGTTATGAGCTGGCATTGAGGACAATGGCTATCCAGACTTGGCAGGGTCCCAGCAAAGAGGAAATAATTCCCATGCACTAGCATTAAGTTGGTGGCCTTGTACTCTTCTGAGGAGATGGGAACAGAGAAGCTAACAGACGTCAGCCTAATGGCTCAAACAGAATGGAAAGAGAATAAGCTATCTGGGTAGATTTTTTTATTGAAGGGGGAGGGAGGTGGGGAATGAGGTTAACAGAGATTCAAGGATGCATGTTAGTAGGGATAATGATTGAAAGGGTTTATTATGTTTCTCTTTAAACACTTGTATAAATCCCCTCTTATTGCTTTGTCTCTCTTAGGTATTTGTGGTCACTGTTTGGCACATAGAGCTTTACATGGTGCCTCTGGCTTTGTTGCTGCTCTTTGTTTACAACTTCTCTCTGATCACAACAGGGAAGGTCAGCAGTGCCCAGGACACCCAGGCAAGTAAAGTAACACTAATGTTTCAGGGCCAGTTGGAATCTGCCTTTGAGCAAAAATGATCTTACAGTTTACTGGTTTTCAGCTAGTTCTGTATCTAAATGGTATTCTATTTCTAGGTTCCTGTTAAAAACAAAATAATAGTCTCTAGAGTTTCGTGGTTCATTTCATGTCATAAACCATTGTGGGACAAAACTTACTGCTCTTAAACAGCTGCAAAGTTTCAAATAGTTTTAATCAAAGAATGGGACAGAGCTTGGCCCTTGGATCTTTCAGATTTCAAGGAGGCATGATTTGAACCCATGATCCATACCCAGCCCTGCAGTTTATATTTCAGGAATGATTCAGGACTTCATGAGGCTGAGGAAGGCCAACACAACCCCAAAAGGGAGGCCAATTTTTAAAAATCTATTCTGTGAGATCGATATCATCCTCATCTTATTTTTACTGTGACTTTAAAAAGAAAAACAAAATGTTCAGATCCCAGCTAGATTTCAGTTTTAGATCTGATTTTTAATAAAAGTATTTTCTGTGACAAAGTAAATTGCAGCATGGAACTCTGTTATGATACGAAATGTCATTTCTGTGATATTAATGTTAGCACTCTTCTGATGTGTTATACATAGCACAGGACGTTGAAGTTAGAAAGAAATAGAGTAAATTAACACCTAGAACATTCTGTTTTAAACCTTTATGATAATTCTGATAATGACATCCAGGCAAACTCTCTTTTTGAAATGTTAATAGAAAAGCATTGTCATTTGTGCACACAAAAATCAACTTAACATAGTGCAACCACATGGAGATCTTAAATGAAGGAATCAATGGCATCCTAGGATCAAATGTACCTCCCCCCCCCAAAAAAAAATTAGCTAGTCAAGTTGTTCCTAGTGAAGTTTTGAGTCATTCCCAGGTCAAAAGTAGTGACAAAATGATGACAATCATATTTCCACTAGCAGGCCACTCTATGCAGATTTGATATGAGGATAAATGGTGAGAATCTGCTAATCTCCAATCTCAGTAAAGTCCAAAGTATTCATAAGCGTATTGTGTGTGTTCTCTGAGTCCTTTATTCCATCACCAAAATAGGAATTTCCCACTGGGGAGAATCCAGGACAAATAGTTTATTAAATATAAAAGATAATCTATAAAATAATGTTGAGACTGACTAACCAGATAAAGCCAGGAAAGTGTAGAGTTAATGGCTGCTGCTACCCATCACTCATTCAGTGATGAGTGTGTTGTGTTCCCTAGCAAACAGAATCTCACTGAAATCTTTATTGTGCTTGTGATGGATACCACAAAGTGCCATGCGTATACAGCTGAAAAGTACACAATAGCTATTTTCAACAAGACTTTGGTTAATCAAAAGTTGGTCACTTCCCCTACATATGCAAACTGGGAGTAATGCACACCATAAGTGCATATAGTAGTGCCATTGAACTCAACAGGACACTCTCCAGTGAACAAAGTTACATATGTGCGCCCAAGTGCTTTGCTGGATTGGAGCCTTACTGAGCATCTAGCTAGTCAAAGCATCTTTAATAGCCCTGGATTCTTTTTCTGATACCCAGATTCTGAGCTTTCTGAATTCCAACTCTGTATACCTCCTGTAGCTCCAAATAGGTAGTACTACTCTGAGTTGCATATGCTCTGGGTGGGAGGAGTGGGTAGCATAACTGTCCCTTTTTCAAAATACCAGTGGTTTGGGTACAGTCCTATTCTTTCTGCTTATCCAGACCTTGGCTGCACATGGAGTAGCTTAGTTTTCTTCATGCCTACGTAACCATGTAAATTTTCAAAAACAAAGTTCATTTTGTCCATTCTGAATGCACATAGCATTCTCTGGAAATGTGGAACCCAAACTCTGTGCTTCAGTTTCCTGAGCTGTAAAATGGGGATAATATTAACCTAGTGTGCATAACTAGGTTGCTGTGAGGCTAAATTCATCAGGATTTGCAGTGTTTTGAGAATCTCAGGTGGGAGCTGCCATAGAGATGGAAAATATTATTATTAACCTAGCTACCCAAGGCATCTCAGCAAAGACATTGGCAGATCTGGAGGTAGGACTCGCATATCCTAGCTCTCAGGCCCTTGCTCTGATGAATAGATACCACTACCTCCCTAAATAAAACAACCTTTAATTGTGATCCTTCACATCCCCACATTTCAGCTATGTTGAAACATTTTAATATGGTAATTCAAATCTTCCTATTGAATAAGCAAGACCTAAATTAACTTGAAGGATCCTGTTAAAGGCTCAGCTAGAAAAACACCGGAATTGAAAGCCAGGGGTCCCTAAGTTCACACCCTAGCCAAGTCTTTTGTTTTCTTCCCTACCTGTCAGAGTGGGAGTCAAACTGAAGGAATAATGCTGTATAGAAATCTGTATGTGATTCTTGAGATTGATTATGTTCATACTAATGTATTTTCTACTGTCTAATGTTTCTGTAATGGCCCTAAAGGGAGAGAGCAGTCATTGTAGCAGTGAGGATAGAACAAACTGAGTATAGAAGCTTCAGCCTTGACATACCAACTGGTTCATTTATCAGACTAAGAACAAAGCTGTTTACAGGCAGTAGAACTTGGCAATGAATTTAAAAGCCTGTTGCCTTCAAACTACTGGGCCCAGCCACTAATACCTCAATGTAGACTTAAAATTTGCATAGGTTATTGCGTGCTATTGTTCCTGATCTTGGGAAAAAGGACCTTGAACATAGAGTAATACAATAAAAATGGTAGTTTTAAAAAAAAAGGTTTACAACTAAATGTACCAAATGAAATGTGATAAGAGTTATGTAAATGTTTTGAACCTCTGAATATCAACGAGGAATTTTAATATGGACATATGTTTTTCAGGAGACCACATACCTAGATGAGGATGAAGATGAGGATGACAAGGTAAGCGTGTCACATGTAGGTACATCAGATAGAATGAAATAATGCAAACGATGCAGCCTTATTCCAGGAGATTGTGGTTTATACTCTGCACAGGCTGCGGGATATTAGGGGGAGAGGCGGTTTCAATTAATGATGGGCAAACCTGAGAATATCAGGTTTCATTTGGATAAGCCAGTGTTTCCCAAACTTGGGACGCCGCTTGTGTAGGGAAAGCCCCTGGCAGGCCAGGCCGGTTTGTTTACCTGCCGCGTCCGCAGGTTCGGCCGATCGCGGCTCCCACTGGCCGCGGTTCGCTGCTCCAGGCCAAGGGGAGCTGCTGGAAGCAGCAGCCAGTACGTCCCTCGGCCTGCGCCGCTTCCTGCAGCTTCCATTGGTCTGGAGCAGCGAACCGCGGCCAGTGGGAGCCGCGATCGGCCGGACCTGCGGACGCGGCAGGTAAACAAACCGGCCCGGCCCACCAGGGGCTTTCCCTACACAAGCGGCGTCCCAAGTTTTGGAAACACTGGGATAAGCATTCCAAAGTGTGGATGCGTATTTAAAGCATATAAAAATTGACGTCCCTTTGGAGTCCCTAAAAGTGTGCTAGAAATCATGGGGAAAACAGACTCTTTTGGGTATAATATTTCTTAACAATTCCAGTTCTGATCTCAGATGGAAATTCTACATGAATAACATTTCTTGTGGTATTGAGGTATTTCCAGTTTTTGTCCAAGTTGGAGACCAGAAATGCTGAGATTTATGGAGGGTTGGGGAGAGTTATCTCAATATTTCAGACCCTCCAAAAATGTTGGTTTTAGTTTGGCTCCTGAAATGTACAAAGGTTTGGGGTTGAAGAGAGGTGCCTCTTAGTTTATCTGAATATACTTGTTCATCCTCCCTCTTCACTCTGAAAAATAGATTGGATTCTTTCCAGTTTATCAAACCAAGATGACAAATGATAAAAAGGATTAGAAGGCATGACATATGAAGAAAGATTACGAGAACTTAATATATACATCTTACAAAAAAAACCATAACTAAGTGAAAGGGAATCTGATAGTCTATAAATACTTGAGAACTAAAAGGTAAGGAATTATTTAATGAATAACAGCTAGAAAAAGGAATTTAGATATTAGGGCATAAATATTCACAAGGTTATGTGCAACTTAAAAAACTTCAAAATAACTTGACATGCCATTTCTTGAATATTCCATAGGTTAATAGATTGTTAAAATTAAATTGTTAACTGTTCAGTAGTAAATCAAAGTTATAGTTAGTATACAAAACCTTAACATTACCCACTTGTGTACATTAGGGTTAGATCTAACAAGCTATGTGCTGGGAACAACTTCTTTAAATGTAGCTTATTGTTCTGATAGAAATTTAAAAAAAAACTGAGCAGAAATCTCCGAGTTTTATACAGCTACTAGTTATTATTCAAAATTCTGTAACAAATAATTTATTTCAGACTGTGGATTTCTCACAATCTATATACCACAACTATCAGTTCAAGTTGTCTCATTTATAATTCACTGTTTGCATTGTGTGATTGGTCTACTAAATCAAATGTTATTGTTTCTGCTGAATGAATGATCCTAAAGCCAACAAGAATCTTTCTTGATGGCCACTGAACACGTCCGGTGCTAATATTTGTGCTCAGATATATTTGTGTAAGTGTTCCCAGAGTGAATATTCTTCCAAACAAAAGTCACTGTGCGCTGAAATTTGCAGAAAATTAATAAAAAATAAATTGACCATTTTTATTTGAATAAATCTTTATCATTACATTTTCTGTAGTATTTGTCCAACTGTAATCATGATACAGTCTGATTCACACATTAGCACATTGTATCATTCCTCCCACTTATTTTATACTTACAATAAAGCATGGCTAAAATGTTCAAACTAAGAGTTGCATGATTTTCAATGGAGTGGTGGATGTTCTGCATGTCTGAAAATCAGAGCTGTTTCCCAACTTTAGGCACCAGATTTGAAAATGTGAACCTTCATCTTTACTGGTGTACTGCCTCATTCTTCAGGGTTTACTCACTTGGACAGGCCTATTCACTTTCATTTTGCCACACTACTTTCCTTCATTTTGTGCATGCTGATTCAGAGAAAACTATCTAGCTTGTCTTAAAGCTCTAAACAGTTAAACCATGAATTTGACTGTAATATGTGCCTGTGACCATGATTTAGAAGCACACAGTTCATTTCACCTTATGAAAAAGAGAAAAAAAGGACATTTGAAGATTTGTTAAATAAGCGTTTTGTCCAAAATCGGCAGAGGACAATGCAATATATTCATTTATTGCAAAGCCAAAATATTTAGGTCCAGTTTTACACTGATGTAACCACACCGACTTCCATCGGGTTACTCTGTTTTTGCAATGGATAACTGAGATATGAAATTGCTCTGCATTTTGCACTTCTCCAAACTTGACCTTACTCTTCTTTTACCACTTTGTTTTTGGAATGCTCCTGAGAGACAGTGTTCAAAATGCTGGTTATTTGGGAAGACCATGATGCTGTGGTCAGTGTTGCTTCTAGACCTCACTGCTATATGCATTAAGTACTCCTGATAACTGGCAACTCATGAAAGTGGGTGGAGTTATTCATATCAGAGGTGGCTGCTGTGCCAGCTCTGTTATTACAATATTAGGTGCCCATCACGATAATACTTCATAGCTAAATCTCACCATAACTATAACATGTAACCTCTATTAGAGTATTAACTTAGACCCTTGTATAACCATCCTGTCAAGTGTACCCCCCCTTTTTAATAGTAAGGGAAATGGCATTTGTGCATTGAGGGGAGCCTAGATCCTTAAGGACTGTAACAGGGACAGGCCAGATGGCTACAGAAGAGTGATAGAAGGCAGATATATTAGCCTCAAATTAAGCAGGTCCCTTTTCCCTGGGTAAGGTAACAGGGGCAGTTCCAGAACAATCAGGAACTTGCTGGAACTAATTAAGGCAGGCAGGCCAATTAGGACACCTGGAGCCAATTAAGAAGCTGCTAGAATCCATTAAGGCAGGCAGGCTAATCAGGGCACCTGGTTTAAAAAGGACCTCACTGCAGTCAGTGGGGGTGTGCGAGGAGCTGGGAGCAAGAGGCGCGCAAGAAGCTGAGAGTGAGTAGGCGTACTGCTGGAGGACTGAGAAGTACAAGCATTATCAGACGTCAGGAGGACGGTCCAGTGGTGAGGACAAAGAAGGTGCTGGGAGGAGGCCATGGGGAAGTAGCCCAGGGAGTTGTAGCTGTCACACAGCTGATACAGGAGACACTAAAGACAGCTGCAATCTACCGGGCCCTGGGCTGGAATCTGCAGTAGAGGGTGGGTCCGGGTTCCCCTCACCGCCACAATTCCCTATTTGATATAAGAGGAGTTGATCTGGACTGTGGATCCCACCAGAGGGCAAGGTCTCTTGCCCGTCCCCCGACCCATTAGGTGGGCCAGCAGAGACTGTGAGGGATTGTTCTCCTCCTTTTCCCCATGCTGGCCAGTGCTGAGGTTAGCCAAGTGAAACGGCAGGTTTGTGCCACTAACAAAAGGAGCCAAACTGAGGACTGCCGAAAACCTCTGAGGCAAGCAAATCTGTCAGAAAGCGCAGAACCCACCAAGGCAGAGGAGGAACTTTGTCACAGTACATTTAGCTATCCTCAGTATCTTCATACTTTTTCAAGTGTGGTGGTGCTAGGGGTGGTCGGAACACCCTTGTGGGTTAAAGAAAAATGAGTTTGATGACATTATCTCAATGCAATGTCTGCATTTAAAAGAAAAATATACATTTTTTTTCCTATTACAGGAACTCCTAAAGTTGAAATCTGCTAGTAGGGTCATAGTATACAAGGTCACTGTTTCTGTTTCCTGTCATTAATATGTTGTATCAAAATACTCGCACACATAGCTCTTCTGGATTCTGTTGCATGTTAGACATAACAGACCGTGCTTCTGGGAACTGTAACACGACCCCTGAGAGATGAACTGTTTACAAATTATAAACACACAGACGCTTAGTTCAAAAACAGAAGAGCAGATTAACTCCCTTCCACCTAAACGATCAGTCTTGAAAATGACAAGGCTTAATTGCTAGCTCCTCCTTTCCCCACAAATGCCGACACAGAAGACTGTGAAAGATAAGAATGCTTCGTCCCTTTGGCACAATCTGCTCAGTGGATGAATGCCTTCTCGGATTCTTGCCATCTTGGATGCAGATTTCAGACTGCATCATGTCAACTCTGGGGTCTGTCAGGCTATAGCTGTCTGGAGCAGGGATTGTTTTAAAATTACATCACTGAGGCATATTTCACACACACACACCCAATACAAAGGTATAGAAAAGTTACATACAATTCATAAGGATTTTGTAATACTCTTTTGGAAGTGGCATGGAATCTTTCATGACCTCAGGTTGTCAGGATCTTAGTTTTTCTTTTCCTCCAAAAGAGACAAAACAAAGTTGCTGACAATACTGGGTTTGGAAATTGGTTCAGCAGAAACTTGGAGGAAGGATGATCAAGTGATTAGGGCCCTAGCCTAGGGTCAGTTCCTTGCTCTGCCACAGACTTCCTGCATGGCAAGTCATTTAGCTTCTGTGTCTCCATTCCCCATCTATAAAATGGGGATAATAGCACGGCCTTATTTCACAGGTGTGTGGTGAGGTTAAATACATTAAAAATTGGCAGGTGCTCAGATACAGCCGGGGCATATAAGTTACCATAGATAAATAAGGAAAACTGCTCACTACTGAATCGACTCCACTTCCTGCAGCATCACCCCTTACTTCGGGGGTCTCCCATCCAAATAGTGAGTAGTATAGCTCTGCTTAGCTAGTGAGATGCAATGGGATCAGATCAAATGAGCCTATGGCTGCAAGCAGGGTTATTTGCCAGCTTCCAAAAAATATGAAGTGTCTTATGCTTGGAAAAGAAATCCCCAAAGGAAAAAGCATTTTTTATGATATAAGAAAATTTCTGTTATACTTGTCGGTACCAGAAATACACCAAGTTTTACAAG